GCTTCTCGGTATACATGTACATGCCTGTCCCTTTTCAACGCCTCTTCGAAACCTTGAATTTTTCACCCCAAAGGCGACTCTTTAAAAATAGCCGCGATCGTTTCCTTCTATTCGTGCCCTCTTTTTTTTTATCCGGGAAAAAAGCCTCTCGGCTTATCGCCCCAACTTGTCCCTTAATTAATGCGCCAGAACTTGGGGGTGTTTGCGATCCATTTAACCAAGCCGCCCGGTTCATCGACATCTTTTGGAGCCCTTCAAACTTTTGAATTTCAAATATCTCATGTACTGTTCTCGTTTATTAATTATTATTTGATCGAATTTAATTCGTCATTGTTATTAACAATATTGAAATAAATTTCGTTCTCTCGAGTGAAACAAACACATCAATCCGTGGAAATTTATTTTAATAGATGAATCAAAGCCGTAGGTTTTATCCTCGATCCCATCCATGACACTCTTCTCACATTCACACCTGTCCTTCATGCATCCGACCCACATTCTCTCCCACGCTGGTCCAAATTCGCGCGCTCGTCAATCGTTCGCTCGCGCCTCGTGCAAGCTGTTTCCTCGAGTGTTCTGTGCTTGTCATGCTCCAAATCCTGCCGTACGCTCAACTCGTTTCATCCCAAACTGTTGTGGATTCTATCGCCACACGGATTTACACACATCCCGCTAGACAAACAAAAAGATGGAAAGGTATCCAGTTGGATAAGAGTCGATGCATCCAGCGAATGTAAATCAGTGGATTCCTCGATCAGGTTAAAGTTTCTCGATAAAACTTGAGAATGCTGTTTGAAACTGATACCGGGAATTTTCAGTTCCGAAATTATCTTTCCAACTGCCTTCGCATCCACCCATGAGAATCACCTGTGATTATAACTAAAGGTAGTCTCTTGAAACAGTGACATTTTAAATTTTATATCACACATGGTAGATTTGTATCTGTGCAAATGTTTTGTTCAATAATTTCGATACACAAACCACGTAGCAGACAAACGTTCCGTTTACATGAAACGTTAGAACGGTGGACACGTTTCTGTACAATTGTGTACGAAAGTCATTCTCAGTCAGCCGGAGAGTACGATCAAACGTTGCATCGAGAGAGGAATATGGTTGTCGTCGGACTTCATTGATTAATTCTGGCTTGACTCGAATCTTGCTCTCTGGAGACTCTAAACCGATCAGCTTATTGAACGATGATCGTCTGTTTTCAAACTAACTAACTGTCGATAATCTGCTTAATATTCAACAGTCGTTAGACTGCTGAACTTCGTCAACGTTTAATCTGACCTCTGGTTATTATTCATCGGGTCGAATGGGCTTTCGTTGTTCACGCGATAAGCTGTACATTTTTTAACGAGATTCATCCTCACGGGCTTTCGTCGTCCTGGATTCGGCTGCTCCGAACTACTATTAGATCTTCTTGAAGGAAATTGTATCTTAATCAAAAGAGCGATTAGATTGCGAGCAATCGAACGTGGCGGGACATCAAAAGGTTGAGGAGAAGACGAAGCTAGTGTTGGTCGATCTCAAAGGAATAACTAAACCAGTGAGCTTTATTTCTTTTTAATCTTTTAACCCGTTAACTACCAACCAACTATTTCATCAAATATCGAAAAGGAAATTGAAGTGATCATTTGTAGAACAAATAAATCTTTGCATCAGAAAATAACATCTCGCGTTCATTAGGAAGGAAGCTCTCTGCGTTCGCGAAATTACTAGCAACTCCGAGAAGAAAAATAATAATCTCCCTAGTTTCTTCTGGCCGGTTTCTCTTCTCCCTTTAATCAAGCCATGCCTAATGCATTTCCGCATGAAACCGCGTTGCAGCCCAGGAACAGGTTGTCTCATCTCGGCTAGGAAACTTATTTCACACGAGACCACGTAGCAAGAACGAGGTGAATTCGTTCCTTAAATTCTCGGAAAGATGCACCGTGTGACCAGAAAGCAATTTCGAGCCACCGTTTCAGCCAAGCTCGCTTTTAGGCCAAGTAGACCCGGATACCGGAAGCTAATCTCGCTAGCTTCGCTATTCGGCAGATAAAGCGGGCCAGGATTATCTCGATACCTCACAGATTTCAACGATTGCTCCTTTTACGTGGTCGGTGTAAGTTAATTTTCTTGGATCGTTTGCGATTCCACGTATTTTCCACTTTTGACAACCGAGCTCGTGAATTTTGCATAAACAAATTTTTTTAAACGGTTTTTTAATCAGGGATCAGTAATTTCGTCCTGCTATGAAATTTACAATACACCGAAAGGTCAGAATTTAGTTATTAACCTGATATATTCGACGTGTTTCATTGTTTGGTATCTTTTACATTGAACCAGTGTAATATATTCATAGAGTGCTACTGGTTGATTTAAATCGCTTACAATGAATATTGAATACGAGTAGCCGATATCATGCATAATCGATGTCTGTTTAAATAAATTCCTTCGCGTTTACATTCGAATGAATACTTCGTCTAAAGTCTAAACGGGATACTTTGTATCTACGAGCAAGTCAAGGCCGTGACTTCAGTTATTTGCCAGTTTACAAATTCTATTAGCAGCGTTGACGCGTCCAAGCGTTTTCTAATGCTTCCTTCTTCGCTTGAATCGAGAAGCATCTTTGCAATTGCAACGCCTTTAAAAGTCCTTCGTTCAATTTTTGCATGGAACAATAACCGCTGGATCAAATGAATAAAATGAATAGCGTTAAATTTAGAAAATGTCAATTTTTCAGATCCGTTATATTCGTTTCGCACGTGCCGCGTGTTTTCCATCAATTAATATCTGGCGAATCGCGCGGTATTTTGACGCATCGTCAACAATACGCATCCTCGTGTCCCTTGGTAGCTCTGTTTCACGCCGCGTTGCGCTTCGTTTGTCGTCGGAAATTGAAATTTTCGCGTCGATCCGCGTGTCCGAAATATTAATGGATCCGGAAAAACCTGGAGATAATACCTGGTGCTCGCGTCCGAGTGCCTTAATCAACGAGCTCCGTTCATCCGCCTTTTATTTTCCTTTTACTCGCCCCTGTATTCGCACCGTTCTCTCTTTGCCTCCAATTTCTCGGCCATTTCGATCCCGACGTTAGGTCGGCGAAACGAAACCGCGATAAAACGCACGGTTAATTCTCGATTTCGATGCCCGACCGTAATCTTCGGCAAAGAGAGGAACAGGGAAACAACTTCATTTCCTGTTCCACACCTGAAATCAGGAATTCTGGTGGAGGCTAAACAAAGACGGTAATTCGGCGGCGAAATCTTGGGTCGTGGTGATAGCGGGAGGAACCTCATTACACTTGGGTTAAGAGAAAATCAGTGGGAAAAGAATTTCGCCTCGAGAAACGTTTATTGAAAATTCAAGTTGCCGCACGTAATTTTTATATAACTCGAGACCATCATTGATACAATTTTTTCCCCTCGATTCCATTAAACCCTGTTACGATTGCAAATATTTTGATCGGTGTTGGGATAACACAACCGGGTGGTCCGTGTTGCAAATTGTCTTCATGAACGTTCCTCGAAATAGCCTGGTTTCGTTTATAACAAACATTCCATTGCACGAAGCGACAGTCTACCTCTGTGTCTCTCTTTCGAAACGCGGTTAAAAGAAAAAAGGAACGAAAGGAAAGTGCGCAAGATGTGGCAAAAGAGGAGTACGAGAGTCGACCATGATTCTGTAGCGTGATATCCAGCTAACGGAAGAACACGGGTTCCGTTTCTAATCCCGGCGTAACAAGCGGAATATCTCGCAGCTTTGCTCGGCTTTCAGAGTTACCAAAAGTTGCACCACAGTTTTGTCTGTGTTTGTCGCTTTACGTGCATGCGTGTCGGTGAGCTTTTGCCTCGTTTTTCCTATTGCGGATAACTGTTCTTCCTGGAAATCTTACGAGAAAACACGATCGTGGTTAGGCGAACATCTTACCCTGTAACGAGTATGCAAGAAATTAATTATGTATTCATATTTCAAGGGAAAATTTCTAAAAAAGATTCTGAAATCAATTTTTGATTTTTGAATACGAACCGTGACACTGTGCGTCGCGCGGAAGCAGTCGGGTTGCAGCAAGCAGGCGCTCTCTGGCTGCCGGGTGGTCTGACGATATAACATGGACGCGAGCGAGATAGAAAGCTCTGGGTGAAAGGGTGGCGGGGCAAAGTGCACGTATCGGAGAGTGATAGAACGAGGGTGGGAAAAGAGGGACCAAGAGAGAGAGGGAGCAGAGACGAGCGAATGTTACGATCGATCGGCACTCACCAAGCAGCAGGGGTTCCCCCTACATAGGGTGTCTCTAAAGCTTGGGGATAAATTGGTACAGTGTGTTAATGGGATTAATTACGTGAAAATGTATGAATCTCTGTTACGTGCTTTATTACTCCTTTATGATCTTCTTAGAAATTACATTTATTAGAACTTATTATTTTAAGGCACATAAAGTTGCAATATTATATGTACTTTATGCCTTTAATGATCCTCGAATGTTCAAGTTGTAATTACAACGAAGGTTATAACTTCTACTACAACTGCAATTCAGGTTTATCGCATTTGAATTGTAAGTTATGTCAGGAATATGACTTGGTATAAAGTAAGGAATTGGAAGGGTACAAGCTTCCAAAGATTTACACCTTGAAAACAAGTGACACTTATTTTAGTTATTAATTTCCATACGAGTAGTTATCACCTGTTACTGGTACTTTCTTTTACAATAATAGTAGCTTCGACATTGAAACAATGTTATTTAACACGTTGAATGCCATGGGGGTCACCAGTGACCGACACCGCACATTACACATGCCTGAATAATTAACAGAAAACATTATCTTAAATAATATTGCTGGTGTATAAATAATGTATCTACAATAAAATAGCAAATAGATTAAATAAAACAACTTCGACAAATTATTTCCAGCTGTATTAGTCATATATTTAACCGTCATTTTCTGTTCTGTTTCAGGTACGTACAAACTCCTGATCCTCTATTTCGTAATCCAGCTTTCAGAACCCAGGTTCGTATAACCTTTTTCTTACAACTTGACCAAATTAATACATTGTATCAATTTTCCAATCTTATCGAACACCCTGTATATCTAAGTTCTTCTGCACCCTGCACTACCACCACCACCACACCCTCGCCCCTTCTTCTTTCATCCTGCTCCCTCTTTCGACTGCTCGCCATAGCTCGACGTTCACCGTCGCTTCTTTCTTCTTGTGTGTAGCTCTTTGCCCGGCTCTTGTATTTCTTTTTCTGTGTTACGTACCACGGCTCTTTGCTCTTCGAAGTCCAAGAAGTTCTGTGACGAACGACGGACATAAGCAGGAGCAGCTGTTCCCAACAGACGTCGCTTTGCTTTTCTCTTTCGATGTCTATGCTCCCTCCTCTACTACCCGTTTCCGATCTCTTGCGGTGTCCCCATTTTCTCTTGGAAGAAACATCCACCTCCCTTTGTTGACGAATCGTAACGAAGTCGTAATGAAAGGACCCTTGCAGTCGGATCAAAATTGGCATTCTACGTTTTCAACTAGCCCTAGTTTACATCGATGGACCATTAGTATGCGGTGGAATTACTATACCAGGGTACACAAAGGAGGGAGATAGGTAAAAAAAAATATTCGTGGACAGAAAGCTGAAACGTTGGCGGACTAATTCGCTGGGACAGCGGGGAATTACCAAATTCTGCGGTTTTTGCTGTTTTCTCGGCGGCCTGTGTCGAACGGGACGCGTAATTTATTGGCGAGCGTATCTGGGGCGGTTTTTGGTTCAACCTTCGTGCTATGGATTAATTTTGAATAAACGCACCAGTGAAATGTTTGATACGTGGCCGATTGGAGAGGATCGGGTTGACCCTGTTTAAAGAATGAAATATAGATTACGTATTTGCGATGAAATTCTAAATTGCGGGAATAATGATAAAAACGTGCCCGATGGAGAATGAAATCTTTTATCCTTTTTACATTTCAATAAAAATCCACTCGATTATATTGACTCGATGATCATAATCCGTTAATATTTCGTCCTATAATTGCAATTATCCGATCGTTATTTCATTTCCCAATTTAAACGTTCCACTTAATGCCTCTGGAAATTAATATAATATTAATGCTATTTAGGATCCTTTACGATTTTTTTTTTTTTTTTTCGAAAAGCTTATTCGATTAATTTGAAGGACGCATAAAATGCAGTTTCAGTCCATCAAGTGAGAGCTTCAGGGTTCGTGCAACGGTGCAATCTGCTTTTTGTTTTCTTTCCTGCATGCGTCAACACGCACCGTTTGCACTTGCAACGTTCCGTGCTACGTCATCGGGTATTTCAACAGGGAATAAGTGTCGGCGAATAACGGGAATCGATAGCTTCTCTAAGTAATGTAACGTTCCTCGATGTTACACACCACAGGTGTTTAGATACAAACTAATTTTGAGTCGCAGGTACATGGATACTTTCACACGGAGTGCATCGCGAATGCGAGACCTTGCACGAGCATACGTGCAGCATTCTTTAATACTTTCGCTACTGACGCATACATTGTGCTCGGTCAATTGTTTCAATAATGGATGGTGGACAAAAATCAATGAGTAATAACACCAAACAACAATAGTTCTTTTTTAAGAGACAAGAATATGACGCACCATATGTGGCATATGAAAAATTGTTGGATCGCATTTTCTTATTTCATAAATCATTTTTCAAGTAAGTAAATGTGAATCGCGGAAGCGCTGTGCATGGCTTCGGATCGTTTCCTAAGAAAGACGTATGTAATGGCTTCTTAGAGTGTCCGTTGACACTGGATTCACCGAGATTGTACGAAATCTCCTCTCCGTGGTACTTTGGATTTCCGTAGTCGTATCAGAAGCTTAGAGCGTAATCCATTTACACTTTATTGGGGCACGATGCGGCCTCTGGTCGAACGTATTTCTGCCGCCATCGTATAGTGGCTGGAAACGAGGGAACGTTGTTTGTTCCTTATTATCTCGTGAAATATTGCCCTCTGGAACTTCGTTACACCGCGATATGTCCAGCCATAGACGAAATTATGGCCTCCTCTTTGCCCACCTTTTCTTCCGTCAGCCACCCCAAAGTTCCTTTCGAAGAGAGATCAAAACCTTTTCCAAAATCAATCTTTTCAACGTGACGCCATAATAGGTATACTCAAAGTATCAGACTAGTAAGCTGCGCTCCACGATACGAAACGCCTCGTTATTGCAACTTCTTCTCCAGGATATTCCTGGAAAGTTGTTGAACAGCGTGAAATCGATTGAATCCTGCGATGGAACAAGTAGAGAAGTTCACTTTGCGAATTTTTGCCACGGTTCGCTGGCTGTTCCTTAATTGGTACTACGATAGCTTCGATCGTTCATACTTCTTTTTTCTTACTTCGCTTTTATTTGAATCTTTTTTTCTTTTACATCGATCTGCGACGAGTTTGACCCGGTTCGACTGGACGGCAATTCGAATAGCGATTCTTACGGTAGAAAAAATCGAAGCGTGTCTACACGATGAAATATTTACCGGCTATATGCAGGTCGAACCTCGTTGTTTTTCTGGAATCGAAGTTTGTTTAAACATCGACTGGTGTTTGCAAATGTAACGTACAATTTAACGTGGAACATGGTTGTATAAATATCTTTGCTAGATACTGCTGTATCCGCGTGCGTTCTGGAAAATAGATTGTATATTCAATTTCAGTATTTGACACTTTGCAGTACAGTTTAAATTGACAACAGATATCATTGAAATAAATCCAACCATTGAGCGTAATCCGGTATTGTGTTTTTATATTGAATTACTTTATTCTGTTGGCTATTCATTGTATTTTTGTTTAGTAACAATTGAACTTTTTGTAGTTTTTTTGTTAGTAATCAATTAATTGGAGTATCAATGGTTGTTGTATCTAATTGCAAGAAAATAATTTGGAGTTAATAATATAAATATTAATTGAATATTAAGTGAATGTTTTAAGAAAATATTAAAATTATCCTTCCATAATTTCCCCGCTGAATATAAAAATTTATGCGATCATCAAATAACTCAAATTACCATCTACTAATTTGACAATGAATAATTTCTTCTCCGTTTTTTTACGGGTTCCGTAAAAGTTTTAATCTTTCTTTTGAATTTTCACAATTGTATCTGGGAATTCGAGTTGAATCAAGCTATTAAAATAAAGTTAATTGTTCTTCTGCGTTAACATTGGAACGCGTTCAGAAAATGAAGGAAATACAAACAGGTCGAGCAAAATAATTATGAATTAAACGAACGTATTTCATGAAAGTCGGTCAATGTTCACCATCAGCGATTCGAATAGTCATCGTTTTGGTTCATAGAACGTCGTTATTTCTTAATTCGATAGGGGAAGTTAAGAAAGGTCGGGTCTAGGTCGCGTGCCTAGATTCGCACGATCGAACACACCCCCGTCTCGTGATATCGATTTTTAATGAAACACCCCTTCCCTCACAATCTTACGGCTTCTCTCGATCGTTTGGCATAATACCAACCCTCGTTGGCGATTTTCGTGAAGCAGTTGCAGTGAAAAAAATACAATTTCTTTTTAATCGATATCAGCTTAAAAAGAGAATATAAAATAAATAATTGATGCGATATTTACACAAACGAAGTACGTTTGCCATTTTTGGAAATCGTTCACCTGTTTAAAAGGAAGCACAATTTTTTCAGCGCACTCGTTTATGTGAATAAATGAAAAGCAAAACAAAAAGGTGAAATATAGGAATGTTGTTTTAACAGCATCGATCGTGAACTTGGTCGAGAGCACGCGAGGAATCTGCAGTGTTGAATTATTCGGGCGTTAAATGGTGTAGGAACTATTAATCAGCCACCAACACCTTCGCCGGCATTAACACGCTTTCGTGTATGTATTTTCATTACGTTCATAATCTACAGTTTAGATGTTAAACTCCCGACTATTTTCATAACCTTCATTTTATGGATCTCTTACATTGTACTATGCGTTACTGTGATCTTGACTTTCAAAACATTTCACGAACTCGTAAAATCTTGCGCGCTGTTTGTTCTCATTTCCTCTGAAATATATCTTTTATTTAAAAATCATATGGTTTGAAAGACAGGAAACGATGACAAAGGATGTCGAACGTGTGAACATCCTCAGTCACCGAACACTTGATCCTCTTTTTCACCATCCTGCTTGCAGTGTCACACGATGCTTCCAAAAATGACTCAATGGATGCCATCTTTCATAAAAAAGAGAACAAAGGATTTCACCATGAAGAAAAATAACGTTTAACCCTCGAATAGCATTAGCCGGTTCAGTCGCGACTAGACATTCAAATTTCTAAACGTCAGCCTTTCATATGTATGAAAATATAAAATTTGGGTCAGCAAAGCTTTGCCAAGGAAGAGGTAGCTAAATTAGTTCTATTTATTCAAAGATAAGTCAAAGCGTTAAAGTGAAATTAGTCGGTAGAAAGTAGAGTCGGCTAAATACAGAGGCGAAACTGATGGAGCGTATACCATTTATCGCGTTTCGTCAAAGAAACATGCATATTCAAATTTCTTCGTCTGACGTTAAACAGTGGACGATGAATATTCATCGCTCGGCATTTCACTCGCAGCTTCGATAAACGCAAACGGGTATCGCGAATTAAGTCGCGAACTACGTGCTTATAATCGCGATCGAAGCATCGCCCTTTAACGAACGTTTCAATAACGCGGATGCATTGTGAAAGTTCACCACGCACATTGCGTGACGAAAAATCTTGTCAACCCTTGCGATACCTGTTTCGTGGTCGATGTGTATCGGGTTCTTCGTGTTTCCTGTCAGTCGAGAGTTTCCGCAGAATTCGGGTCGCAATCAGGATGTATGAAATTTAATATCGACGCTCCTGTTGCGATGCGAGTCTATCGGATTTGCATGTGATAGCTGAAAGCCCTTGTTCAGTGCTCTTTCGCTTTTACTATCGTACAGAGAATCGAAAATAGACGCGCACCGTCAAAATTGCAAATTTTTAAGGAGATCTAGGGAACACTTAGCGCGGACCATGGTGATGTCAGTCCATGATCCTAATTTCTAATTTTTCTCTTCAACGCGTTGATCGTGCCAGTATTAATTACGATAAAACGTAAAATTTTCCATTTTCCGCTAACCCAATAAAACAGACAAGAGTAGTTATATTTCAAATACAGAAGATTAACGTTGTAGACGTATCTCGATTATCTTTTGTTCGTCGTCGAGTCGTTAGCTTAATCCCAGAGGAACGTTCAGGCTACGCGTGATCACAATCTGAACGGGAAGGAACAATGTAAGTCGTAAGAGAAATTAAACGTCGATATTCGTTATCGAAAGCCAGCCGAGTGGAGGGTCTGCTGGCGGTAATTAACTTCGTTCGATCGGCAACGAGGCTGCATTGTTCTCGTGGAGTTGGAAAAACGGCACGGAGACAATAGACCGTCTAATAGATCGATATTCTACGTGAGAGGTTTCATTGATTTCCCGGGGAAAAACGCGTTACTCCTCGTTCCGGATAAGACTCGGTCAATCATCTTCAACTTTGAACTGTAATCACTATGTACACATCACGGTCTCGATGTGTATTTCGGTCAATCTTATTACACGGGTGTAATCGAATACACCACGGTTAGCCTAGAAATTTCTACGGCTTTTGAACCTAGTTTACAAGCCTTGTTGGTACCTTTTTTATTTTCTGACACGAGGCTACACAGGAACCCGGAATGCCGCAAAATTACAACCTGTTAACCCTAATTGATCCCTGAGTTTTTGTCACCACTCGCGGCTTATTAGCAACGCTTCTAGCTCGAGTACGCTTGCACCTAAACACGCCGATCAGAACAATTGTATTATTTTATTCTTGTCGCTTGAACGCCTTGAAATGGATCGTCGATTGTAAGCGAGATCGCGATCGAGGAACGTAAGAAACGTCGGGTCACAGTTAACGCGTTAAAGTGGTATTCCATTTGCTATATTTAGAAGATACCTTATTTTACATATCGCAAATGAATGTTAGTATTAAGAACTATATTTAATATCGGCAATATTAAATTGATAATTGAATTTACTGGACCTGATGAAAGGATCGATCGATTTCACTTTAAACACGTTCCCTGATAATTCAACTCCCACTTTCAACAATATCAATTACTTAGAACTTGCCCATCAGAATATTATTACTCTGCTTCGTAATTGAAATATAACACAATTAATTTGATTCTATTCTTGGCAGAACAAACCGAACGGCCTATCCGATCTCCAAACAAAGGATTTTTCAAATTTCAAAGATGTCTAGACACAGATTTGTTATCGGAATATGCTATCGCGATGGGATTCAATCGCACGACACCGGTTATTGTAACCGAACAATGGGAAAAAAATGAACAGTAGTCTGGTCAATTTCCTTTCTATCGTTTTTCAAATGTATCGTCGAGAACGTCGGTTAGCTAAAATGCAATATTTCAGAGTACCCACGGAACAGTACCATTATCCGAATTGAAAAACATCGCGGCCGCAGATAGGCCAATAGGCAACCTGAAGAGTCAGTAGTTTCACTTTCTGGCTGGTTTCCAACGACCCGGAGACCTGAATCCCTGTTACATGTCGATCGATATACATATTCTTTTTTAGCGAGGGAAATCGTCCGTTATATCTTGATCACAGATTTATTCGTGCCATTTTGCAGCTTATCGAGGAACACGTGATCGGAATATAACGGCAGCCAGGGATATTTATTGGAAAACTTTTTTGTCTTCTTGCCTCTTTAAGCAGCTTATTCGTGACGTACGAATGAGTCAATATATATACCGTTTACGGATACTTTCGTCATCGTGACTTTATTGAATATTTATTATTTTCATTTTTAACAACATTTCGCGTGTCTTGTACGTTACCGAAGGGGTTGGATCACGTTGATGATCGATGTTCAATGTCCTAAGTTTGTAGCAAACTTCGTTTGGATTATATTGAAATTTTCATGAAATAACAAGGTTTCGTTACCTTCGGATTCTTATAGAAAGCGCCAATTTTTCGCGTCATCACCTTGAGGGAAATTATCACTCGTTACGAGACCTAGCCGACTCGTTGTTGGCGAGCTTCGTCCAGTGCAGAAACATTCATACAGGATGGGACAGCATTAGTATTTATTAACCTAAGGTCGTCCCGTAATTGACGTAATTACCACCTCGAGATATTCCGCGAAGATTGGGAAAATTACTTGTATCAGTCGTACACACCCTGCTTCCAAGTTGCTAACGACGCTTTGAATTTGATTAACCGTAATTGAACGACACCTTTTTGCTATTTCAAAGCTCTCTAATGTAAAAGCAATAATTTCTTAGTTTTCTTTATTTTTATATGTTACTTAATCAAGCGTTCGATACCCGGGCGATCGATTAATCAGGTGCAGGATTTATTTTAAAGTGCCACCCCGTTCCCTGATAAAGTTCGATTCCCTGTTTCGCCATTATATCCAGCGGATATTGGGGTCGCACGCATTGCCTCTTCTATTTCCAATTAACAATTAACGCACAATTTATATGATAATGCGACGCGCGAAGAACAGCTCACGTCGCCATTCAATTATCGTTCGTTTATCTTTTTTCCCGATATTTGCCCGTAATTTTGCGCGCATGCTAAAAGGACCTTAGGTAGCAGGCATATCGACCAGGAATAACAATTTTTAATTTATTTAGAGGAGCAATATTGCACTCGTGGGACGGCGGTCTGCTACTTAGGGTAGATATACTACACTTATGGGGTTGGTACTGGAGATAGCAACTTGCCTCTTAGAATCTGTACTTATGGGGATGGTGAGTTTTGGAAAGGTAGAAATCTTGATGCTAGATAGGGCAATATCTATACTTACGAGGTGGGAACTGGGAATAACTTTTGCCATTTAGAAAGGTAGTTTTACCATTTAGGTGATACTGTATTTATGAAATGGAAATTGAGAATAGCTTTGTCAATAAGAACAGTAAAACTCTTCCCATTTAGATAGATAATACTGTACTTATGGGATAAGGATTGAGAATAACAACTTTCACTATTTAGAAAGGTAGAATTCTTGTCACATGATCGATACTACAGTTATACATAGGATTATAACTAGAAATGATGATATTTGCCGTTTACAAGGTGGAAATCTTGTCGTTTAAACAACAGTATATCTAACCAAGAGCTAATATTTACGAGTACAGCTGTCCAGGGTACAATCGGTGTTCATTAATCAAAACAGAGGGTAGGTTCTAAATCCAAATCACAATTAGCTACTTCGCTCGCGAGTTAATAGCACTCGACGTCGGTAGCCACTTTTCGAGCCGTTTCTCTGCTAGTAAACGACATTGTCGTCCAGCGTGACGATAAATCAGACCTGGTCATCATTCATAGCCGTTAGTTAACGATACGGGAACTACAATTATTTTAATGGTCCTGGCTGTCGACCGGCTGGGAATCCTGTCTCGCTTCGCCTCGCGTGGCCATCGATGTTCCGCTACATCCAACCCTCTCCAACACCATCCATAATCTCTGTGGCTCGCAGCTAGATGGAATTTATTGATAAAACGCTACCGTGCGTACGTATGCACCCCTGACCGAGCGGCGTCAGTAAGTCGTTTCGACGGGAACACGTGTACCCCTGTTACCGGTATCACGCTTCTACCCCCGAACACGTTACGACCACGCGTGTGTCCTGTATACGCGATCGAATTGAAACAATTGCTTGTCCACCTCGATACGTCATCAAGATCGGTGCTTGCAATTCGTCTAATTTACACGCGTGTGACAATAGAATGAAATCTGTCCACACTTTACGATTCGAACGAAAGGTTTTTATTTAAGTAGCCTATGATTTTTTTTTTTCCGAATAAAAATGAAAATAGCGACAATACGAGTCCAGCTTTTAAACTGTCCATACGAAACGTCGAATGCATTCTTTTGTACCTCCTTCGGCATACCATTTCCGTCAATTGCCGCTTTCCGTTTCGTTGGAGCCGCGCATTCAGATAGCATCGGTTATAATACCCATCACGCTAAACGTTTTTCCTAAGCGAGCCTCGTGAAAGCAATCTTGAAGGTATCTCTCGGCGAAGATGCCAAACGTAATCTTCTGGACGCATCGAACGTTGAATGGCACAGCGTGACTTCCACGCAGCACGAGTTGAAAAATTGGTCGCTCGATAGAAACGACTCCTACATACGTGTGTAGTCAGCTTCCTGTCGTTTCGCGATGAAAAGATCCATTTGCTGCCGGTCGACTCGTTTCGACTCGGGACGACCTGAAAGCACGGATGTTGAAGGTATCACCGAGTGTTTACCTGGCCAGGTGTTGGTTCGTTTCGTGGAAAAATGAGATACAGGGAAGGTGTAACCCGAGTCGCTGTAAATCTGACCTGCTCGTTAAGTTGGAACCATTTTGTTGAAGTTTCCACGAAAACATCCATGTACGATCCACTGTACGATTCGTTCTACCATTCTTCGTTGTACGATTTGTTCTACCATTTTAACTCGTCAGTTCTGAAAATTATCGGATCTACCATAGAATTGATCAGATATTGAGCATCGTAAGAAGTGCATGGGATAATATAAGGGTAGTTGCATCTGAATGCATTGCATCTCGCGTTTGATCATCTGCTGATAGTAAATGCGCTTAGGTTCGTTAAAAATCGCAAGTGCATTCGAATGGAAAGATCACGAGATATTCTCATGCCGATTTTAACGGAATATTTATAGTGTTTTCTTCGCTAAATGACTTTAAAGCGTTTAAGTTACAGTATCCGTAAATCATCATTCGAACACGAGTATCAAAAGAAAAAGCGTAGAATGAAAATGATAAAGTGTTTTCTTAAGCTTAATCAACTCCAGTTAATTATAATAAACCGTGTTCGTAGGGATTATTAACATGGTCTGCAACAAGAGAGGAAGATAAAGAATTTAAAGTGGAAATATCGCGTTTCACGGGTCATTAATTCGTCTTTGTTTATATCACCATTATCCAGCGAGTCCGGTATCTGCAAATAATATGCCATTGTGCTCAGATAAATCAACTTTATCGCACACGACGAAAGGATTTCCATTTTTTCTTGATAACAGTTTTGCGCCTAACGTTGCCCACCTTTTCGTGCTCCATTTCGTGTCGCGCTAATAATTCCTCGGGAATATTAGTCTCGAAAGATTCCGAGGCGAAAACGTTTGGCTTGCTGATAGCAAATAGAAGCGTGTTGTCGGCCAGGAAAAACTGACCTCCTTTGAAACATTACGGGGGAGTCGCGTGAAATATCGTCGGAGATATCGTGAAAACGCCGTCGTTCATTTCGACATGGATCCCATTGTCTTTTCTTTTATCACCAAGCCATCGCGATATCAGTCTGTGAATGCCGGCGCTGCTTTATTAGATCCGTTTGTTTTTTATCAATCAACGAAAAAACCGCGTCTGTTCTGTCGGTTATTAATATTCGTTGCGTTGATAAAATCGACGCCAAGTTTTGACATCCGTATTTCGAATCAACGATTCAGATTAAATAGTATAAAATTCAGAAAATGATTATTCATTACGGTGGCCGTTGTTTTAAAAACGAATTACATCACTTCTTTCCTCATCAATTTACACATAATAGAGGAAAAGCGTTTGGAATTTCCCAAAGTAATCTCTGTTTCGAGTCGCATTCTCGTTCCATTCTCTTCATTTACATGTACCTAACTAGAGAAAATCGGCAAGCTACTCGCATCGATGGACAAGGATCGCGTGTAACACGGTTAACATCGATGCGATAAAGCGTTTCTTCAAAGGACCTCGCTGGTAAACGACCAAAGCTCTTCCGTTTCACCGTCTACAATCCAATTATAATTTGAAATCGGCCACGGTGGGAGAGCTCGATTAAAGGGGCGTGCTTTGTGCGTCGCTAACAAGTGGCGAAAATCCACGCCTCGTTAAAATTACGTCAAAGGGATCGCATCCCCCGTGTCGAAAATGAATTCCTTGCTCGCTGTCTCGAGAGCACGTATAAACGAATTCGGTGCCTCTTCCCGGAGCCGTAAAGTCGAGACACCGGGAAAAGTGTGTCTGAAATTTGATGCGAATGGGGTGCTTCTGGTGAAAATTTAACGGGATCATTATTTCTGCTCAAACTATGGAACAACTTTAACCTAAGTTGAATCTAAGATGGCTCTAATAATCTTGAGTTAACAGTTAAGGGGTTACGCCACTCTGAAACAAGAAAAAATAGGCATATTTTGGGAATTTTTTTTTTTTTAAATGATGGAATAAATCCAAATTCTGTAAGCATGCCTTTATTTTACAACTAATAAACTTCAAAAAATAATTCTTGTACAGTGATTCAAGTCAAACTATGGGCTCTGCAGCATTTCTTCGATTTTGTAGGGCTAAACCAGCAGCTTTTGCAATTTTTAACTTATGATAAAAAACCAAAATATTTTCGATTATATATGAGAACAGCTACCGAACTACGTAGGATTTTTTTGATATATTCATTTTTGCAAAAAGTGGCGTATTTTTTAAGAGAAAATGTAAAATTTCAAGAAAAAAGCATCAGAAAATTATTTATAACAAAATAACTATGCATTATAATAAAAAAAATCCTGCGTGGTTCGGTAGAGAATTTAATTTTGATACTGTTAAATTTTCAAATCGATTGATGATGATCTGTTTGATTTATGAGTCCGCCCAGTTTGAAAAATGCGGTTTCGAGAAAACTGCGTTTATTCTTCAGTAATAGCAGTAGCAGACCGGAAGGGGCTGCGCCATAATTCGAAATTCGAGTAAATTTTCCCACCCATAATCTTTTGCCATATCATTTTTAAGATATTAAGGCACCTTTTAAGCAAAACAAAATTTTGATTTTTTCAAAATACTAAAGTGGCCTAACACCTTGATAACTTTGGATAAAAATCTTAGTTACTATGCCAATGATCCCTGAGCGGAGAGCCGCGTTGGATATCCAACGGGAAGCGGTGAACTGTTCAGGACATCCTCCTCGTTTCTGACGGAAGTGTGTCGGCGTTATCTCGACCGAGCCACGTTCGACTCGTGGCGACTTTCGTCTGAATAACTCTCGGTATCTGGTTGACCCATCTTGGGAAACGTACGTAGGAGCGGAACCGGAGGATGAAGTGGACTCGCAAGACGCAGCCTCGGCGCCTCCGCAAAGGAAACGCGAAACGAACGCACCTCGACTTCCTCGAAGGATGAACAGAGACAAAGAGAAGGTCGTGCCACGATCCGACGGGGGATTCGTGCAAAAAATAACCGCGATTCCGATCTCGTTGTTGTTTCTCTTCGGAGGAACAAGAAGTTAGAGAGACGTGCCTGAACGCACCGATTCGAACAACTTCGCGAACGTTTCAATTTCGGACCGACGATTTTGCTGCGTGCTCGGATTCCTGAATTCGAAGGATAATGGACCTCAACATCGTTTCTTGCACCGTGTTTCACACTGATTCGAGCAGAGAATAGAATAAAGGATTTCTGGTTCAGAATGCGGCACTTAGGTAACCGCTGAGGGGGTTGATGTGTTGGAATGAATTTTTTCTTGCTGTAATATGTGGAGAACGCGTGAAAGAAATATCAATTTCCTTTTTACATTTCTAATCGCAAGAACTATTCTCATTCGAAAACTAGACTTTCATCCGTCCGGTGGCACAAGGTCCTTGTAAACGACTTCGATCGATAAAATTGTACGTTGAAAATGAAAGAGAGAAAAGAGGGAGGAAAAATGATGAAAAGATGAAATTGTCTTTTCGCGAGAAAATATAAAATTGTTATACACGTTCAAATTAAGAGGCGTCGCTGGTGTAGAACATTAACATCTGGCAGAGCACGAAGCCCGAGGAAAATATAATAAAGCAAACGCGACTGTGAAATAAAAAAATAAAAATAATAAAAAGAACCTACTACCGTGCGAATGCCGTATGAAATTATAATTGCATTGAACCGACGCGACGGAGGCGCTGGTGTTTCTCATTTGTTAAGCAAGTCGCGCATTGACGTCACGCGGCTACGAGAAGCAGAGCCAAAGCAACGGAAAACGTGTGGCTCTTTGGTGAAACGAAACTCGAGCATGTTCGTCGGGGATGACGATGATGCGGTTGTACGCTTGGCTGTCTCTGCTGTTTGCTCAGAAGTCCCGAAGGTATCGACACACATTCACACGGGCATATTTTTCGACTAGCTGCCACTGCTGCTTCCTTTTTCTTCCTCTTCTTCTTCTTCTTCTTCGTTGGGATGCTTCGGGGCGAAGAATGTACACACGAGCACGCGCGCCTCCCACAGTAAATGTGGGTCATTCTGTATGCATATGCGCATAGATGCACCCGGTCCTGCACCCGAATGCCCCAATGACCCGGTTTGCGAATCCCAACGTGTAACCTCGCCTCTGTGACGCGCGCACTCACCGAATCAAGGTAAACCCTCCCGATACATGCTCGCTATTAGCCCACTTGTCTTGCTTCTTTGTTCCCTGTTTGCTCGATCCCCAAACCGCGATCCTTCCTCTGATCCTTACTCGAGGGCCTAGTTTTCGAGTACCGCCAGCTTCGTGTTGCCATACTTATATGTATATTGACGAGGAGCCCTTCTATTAGATCATTTCAAAATGTTAACCCGCAGATGTTGAAGTATCCGTCGGAGTAGCAGAACAGAGGGATTTGGAAATTTTACCATCGTCGAGTCACTTTTCGCGCTATGCTCCCCTATAGGTACCAAGAATCCATTCGGAAGGTCGGCGACGGACGGTACTTAGGACTTATCGTTAGACCTCCCCATGTTCTCCAGTAACCTAATTTGTTATCTTTAAAATAGAAATTAATCAGTTTACGTTCCTCTACTTCGTTTTCTCGTAGAGCTTAAAAATAGTAAGATAACATGGATGCACATTTATCTTCTTTTTTTCCCCCGTTAAAACAGAATCGACTAATTAAGTGTCGTCCTCGGTCGTGTGTACTAATAACGTGTTACCTATTTCAGTGTGAAATACTGTTTTTCTAGAGTATTTATGTAATAACTCTGTGACCTATTTCAGCTGGCGTTTAAGTATGTAAATTGCACAAAATAACTATTGTGCCATGGTTTAAGCTTCTTTTTTAAATTGTTGCCTTTTAATGTTTTCACGTTAGCTGATCTAACATGTTTCAGCACAATGTTATCTTGATTAGGTTTTCTTGCATTGTACGTTTAGAATCTTTCTCACAGCTGTATGAATTAATTAATGTTTAATTACTCGGATGACAGAAAGTTTCAATTTCGCTAAGTTACTTTCTAAGAATTTTACAGCTTTAATTTTAAAAAATTTTCATTTTAACCATCTTGGTCACACGATTTCACATATTTTCGTTAAAAATATAAAACAGCATGCAATCTGTTGGTGATTTATTCAACGATTGTTAATTGCGATTCAGCCGCCATCGACTTCGAATAGAATTTATTAAAAAATTGCAACCATCATTTATTTTATTACTTGGAACATATTTATTTGAAAGCTTGTTCCGTGAATAACGAATCCTATTATAAATATTAAAACTAAATTCCATTAGAATGCCCCATTGCTTAACGTGATATTTTTTTTACTCACGATTTATTGTATGAATTTTTTAAAAATTCACGCGCCAGCATTTCGCGTTGAAAATACAATTACTTCATGCGTCGTTTAACCCGCGAAATCGTTTCGGTAGTTACGCAAGGTATCGTGTTATTTTACTACAACGAAGCAACCTTGGCTTAATTATCAAACGTCGTTTTTAATTATCATCATTATACAATTTTATTTTTAATTTCAACTTGTTCAGTTTCTATCTCCTGTCGCAATATTTTTTAGACACTCTGTATAAATATAGCAAGACCGAGGATCAATCCTTTCTCCGTGAAGTGAAAGCAGTGAAAGCCAAATAAAACGAGCAGGTTGATGAAAAGAACGAAATAGATGATACTAGCGACAGAATGTATCGCGTGAAAACAATTATCTTCATAAATTTTTTATTTATTAATTATCTTCACTTATTTGTTCCTTTATTTAACTCGTCATTTATAATTAACATAGGAGCTTAATTAGCAAAAGAGACAGAATTAAATAGTACATACAGAGAAAATTATTTTTAATTACATTGCACGTCAAGGAAGTTTAATAATCCGTATCATTGTGTCGTCGTATAAATACACATTACTGTTTCTGTTAATTAATTTTGCTTATAATACCCGTTAATTTGTAGTATTTACATGTTCAATTTATTTATGAACGGTATCGTGTTCATTGATTTCTATGGAACATAACTATAACGGCACGTTAATAGGAATATTAATAGAATTGTGAAATATAAAGAGGTAAATCTATGCAATAAAGAAGATTGCGTAAACGGATGAAACTATGCATCTGATTATTTAAAATAACCGGGAGGACGCGTTTGAGCGACTGGAATTAAATTGAGGAGACGTATAAATGGCTGTCACTTGAGATATTAATTATAAAACACTCGTATCCCTCTTCTATGCAACATTGGCTGCAGCTGTATTATTTTGATAACCAAGTGTCGTGGTACAGAATTTTCATTTTCCAAATTTATGACGTTGAAACACCATTTTTCATTATTTTATATGTACCGAAGTATTTCAATTTACAACTATAATTTATAGTTTTTATAACTCAATCCAATTTGATTTATAATGATCGTTTTTTTAAATGCATTTATCGCAAGAAGAAACGAATGGATGGTTTCTGGTGGCTTAATCTTAAATGGTCAAAGCCCGAGTCATTAACGTCATCAGTGTGTCAGTCATGATGTTCGCATCACGGCCTGTCCAAGATTCGATGAAAAACGGTATCTTAAGCACTCATCGAGCGAAATAGTGTCGTCTGGATAATGACGTTTTTAGCGCTAGCCTCTCCAATGTAACAGCTCTATATAGAGTGCGGCTGTGACCTAGAATCTTAAAGACATATTCCTTGGATTCGTCGCTGTTAACAACATGACCATAATAATCCATAGCCTTCGTTCTGGATTTCAAAACGACCGAGTCAGATTCCTATGAATCAGTTTTCTTACCTTCGTAGTTTATGTACTTTTACGTAAAACGTATCTCTGAAAGTAATCCAGAGCATGAGAAATAAGCGAAATAAAATGATAAAAGGATTTTGTAAAAATTGTCATGCAACCATGATAAACGATTGTTTATCCACTGGTGAACCAGAGTTGGCTCGAGTTTCTATTTCTATTCACCACGTGCGTTGGAAAATTTTCTTTCACCCATAACTCAGCTAGGGATCATTTCATGGATATTTGCCCAATAGAGCGACTTAATGGATTCATCATGCTTCCATACCATAATTAGCTTAGCGGCGTATCAACGATACTCCAGTGTGTTTTGAGAGTGACTTTGAACAGATGTCAAATGAATTTGAGAAAAAGAAAAATAAGAGGGAAAAAGGTATCTGTATCGGTTTACACTCGATCCAGCTATGGGTCTACCGTGTTTTTTCATCGAGAAATAGAAAGACGATGAAATACGATCGTTGATTCTAGGCAGGTTACGCCTACGTTCCTCAAGTAAACGAAGGGAGATCCCGGTATCGTTGGTCGAGTAACAAAGAAAATTCTTCAGATCATAAGATACTGGTTATTACTTACTTGTATACATGTATTTCGATACGTAGATTCGGGGTCAAGTATACATAGTCATGTAAATCCAAGTTTATCGGAATACTTTATAGAAAATGTTATTAGTAATTTGAATGCAAGTTGTCAATCTGAATTCCTGTCGTTACGTATTCTTTTCTCAATGCCTCTGTTATCAGAGGGAACACAATCCAGTCGCTTTTCACGAAGCACATGAAATACGAATATAATGAAACGCGGCTATTCGTTATGTACTCTTAACGAGTGCTTTAACACTCGAACCGCAACGAAGTACACTTAACCCATCTACATTGATAAGCGTGCCGTTAGATTTTTACAACCTTGATCCTAATCAAGCGGATCGTAGCCACGTCTAACAATAAGCCAAAGGAATTTCATTGAAATTGTTCCAAAATGTGTCATCTTCTAAAGATACAGTCGGTGATCAAATTATTAGAGCCATGGTATGAAAAATGGGTTTTTCGTGTTTGTGTAGAAATAGAGCCACAATTTTAAAGTTTTTACATAGTGTAACTTTTAATCAATAATTTTTCACTGTTAATATACAAAAAAATACTTATAAAAATAAACAAATACATTTAAAAAGATTATATTTATACATGTATGTGAGTATTTCGTAACGCCGCCTTTTGCGGCAATTACTGCATCAATTCTTTCGGCGTGCTTTCGATACATTTTAAGCAATTCATTTTGATTGCTTTTATCAAATGTTCAATCAATTGATATTCATTATTAATAGTAAATGTTCCCACAAATTTTCGATGGGGTTGAGGTCCAGAGAATTTTCAAGAACTTTCATTTTTTTCAACTTTGTATCGTAATTTTACAAGCATCGATACGTCATAAAAAAGTAACAAAAACTCTGTTTAATTCGGTTTTTATTTCAGAATTAATCATTTTTATGTAAAATCATCAACTTATGCGAGAGGCTCTAATAATTTGATCACCCACTGTAATCTGTCCATGATGCATCCCGTACAATGATACGTTGTATAACAAAAATGAGATAAATTTTTTCTCCCTTTTATGAGCACACATTTTAATTCAACTAGAGAAAAAAGAATCTTAAGGTAAGGGATTAACCTGAATAAAAAAGGCTATATATCGGTGCAAGCACAGGGCGCATCAACGAACGAATATATTTCAGCTGCGACCCCGTTGTCTATTTCGAACCATCTCTACTTTTTATTATTATTATTTTTTTTTTATGAAATCTGAATTTCACGTCACGTGCCGCGGATGTGACACTTTTTGACACAGTTACCGGCCGTTCCTGCGCGCTTCTCCGTGTATTTTATCGAGAAAAACTGATTCGAAAGCGCGACGGTGCATTGCGCGTTCCTCTTTGCTCGTTAAACGAGAGACACGCGAATTTCCAACGAATTTTCACGGCTGAATGATGTGTGACGTGTGTTTTCTAAAATTTCCCAAAGAAGTCGATCGCGTCAACTATTAACCCGTCCGATGGACTCGGAGTTTATTTCACGCACTCTGATTCGTATTAATTATAGAATATTCCAGTGACGTCATGGACGGTAATAACACAGGAATTACAAATGTTGAATATAAAATAATAAAAAATAACTCGGACCGAAGCATCAGTGCGGAATTAAAAATATGAGATACGACAGAGTTTCATTATAATTATTCCAAAATTCTTGTTGAAATGCCATGGTCGTTTAGTGAAATATTAAAATGATATAATAAAGCTTCGGATTGATCAGTTGAAAGGATAAAAATATTCGAGCAAACGATTGAAACGTTCAATAAAGACGAGCTTTCACGGAGGAGTTGAAATTTCCCGGAGAGATTTCGGGGTAATCCATTGAAACGCGGTTCGAACGGTCGAGGATTTTCGTTTGTTAGGTTTCCAGGTTGGAAATTCTGCCTCCGCAAACAGACACCGATCCGTATTGCGATGGTAACACAGTCGTTGGAATCGTTGGTCGCGTCACGATGCATAATGCAAATTGGTGTTCTCGCATCTGGTTTCCGGTCGACGAGTTTTCGCAACGATCAATGGGCCACGTTCCATCCTTCCCTCCGAAGTATGTATATTGCACCCTTGTTATTACAACCGATGGCTACAGGACGCTTCGTCAATTAGTAGCGAAATTGATTTAAAATGCTTTCGACCGCAATTCGATGGAAACACATTTCTTAACCATTTACTTATCGGAAGGCCATTAACGCGTTAAGTGGCATGCTGCTGCTATGAAACATTATTAGATAATTAGGTAAATTAACTAACCTTACTCGGTTAAAATAAAAATTAAAAAGAGATCGAAAGTAGAGGTTAAAATGGTAGTAATACGTTAATAGCGTAAACTACATTATCCCCTTTTCTCATAAGTATTTTTTTTTTTGATCTCATTTATCGACTGACCCAGTTTCCAGAATCGCGTCTTCGTTCTCTATCGAATCATTCGTGGAAGCATTTCATCGAAATTATATTCAGGTGTAATTTTAATATGCATCTAAGGAATCAAAGGAAATCTGAGAAGAGTGTTGAATCAGTAGTCCATTATATCATAATCTTATTTCTGTTTTATCAGAAACTATACGTTCCCTTGAATTGACCGATCGGAAACGAAATTACGAGGTCTGACCATCTTATTTTTTTTTCCTTCCCCCGTTCGTATTAATGGAGAAAAATATTTTGCGGAAATGGATGTTTTTTTTTAAACGGAACGAAGTTATAGTGTTCTAATGTAATTAATGAGTGGAAGAAAAATAAGAACGCGTATTTCGGATAAAGAAATATAAAACGAGTCGTGTCCCGCAGTAAATCACGAGCGAGCAGGAATTTTATAAATATACAAACGAGGAATGTATTCGAAAAATATTTTTGCGCGATTCCTTTCAATTTTTCCTCGAATCAAAAGTATTAGACATAGATGTTTAATTCTTCGAAATTTCGGCTTGCTTCATGTTGAACGGTAGAGAAAAAATAGAAATAACTGGTTATTTTCGATATCACCCGATTATAATTAGCCAGAAAGCAGGAGGTAAAGTGTTGGCGAGTGGCTGGCGCTCAGCTTTTTTCCTTCAAAGCACCGAAACCCGTCGCTCAAACAAAGAAAAGAGCCATGGCGACGATGGAGGCCCCCGACACTACATTCATCTTTGAAGCACCATTTCAAAGCGTCACTCTTTACGAACCATCCAACTGCGTTACAAGCATGCTCATTCTCATTCCCGTGAAGTTTTCTTTACCCTTGTACAGAATGTTAAGAAAATAATGATCTTACATTTATATCACGTTAAGAGCCCGAAAATTTAATATGAAAATCTTGCTTTAACTGTACCTATTCAACGTGTTAAGTGGAGAAAAAGTTGTAAAGAAACTGTGTACCGGAAGCGAGCCGTTCTTTAAGGACGAACCGTGAAAAATCTTGCAGAATGTCCAAGATTCTCGGTGGCCTTATTTCAGGACCTACTGCAGTGCTATAAAGATGCGAAGAGTTTACAAGGATGTTGTACTGTTACTGCTTTTAGCTTTTGCCTTTCAACGTTTGGAGGATTCGTATTGACGTATCTTCAAATTAAACACAGCAATGTTTCTTGGAAATGGTATTTTGAAAAATTTTCACAGTGAAAAAGCGACTTATTTTCGACGCGTGTTCAACATTTTTCTTCCCTTCACTAGTTAGCCTGAAATACTACGCCCCCGTTTAAATATAATTACTATCTTTCTAATTGCACATTTTTATTAACCCCTTGACATGTGCCACTGTAGACTTTGAAGTCTCCGGCAGATGCTGTGCAGTACTTGCAAATGTTTCATACTTTACAGAAATACTAATTTATTATTTTATAATGTTACTTAATTATTGTCCATTAATATTATATATCAACCTGATTAAATGTTATATAGCAACGCAAATTTCAAAATAAAATGTTCTGTTTCTAAGCTTGCACATAACTGTTCAGTTGAGCCAAATTAAATAGTATTTTTCGGACGTATGTATGTCAAGGGGTTAAAATACGTACAAACTTCCATATAAAAGTCAAAATTACATTTCGTAGAATTTGAAATCCTTTGCAAGAGATTACTGATAAAAATTCCGTTTGAATTTTATTTGAAACAGTTAAATTTACAGTTTACTTTCTGAACACTCTGTACATCTGGAGACTTTCTCCGACGATCCTGCATCTACACGCGCACGCACGTTTCGTCGATATTTACCGTTTTTATTATTAATCCCCAACGCTGGTGTGTCTTTTCTTAACAGAACGTACGTACGTATAACACGTACGTCCATATTTAACGTGGCTGGCTGTAGCACGCTCGCCAACCCCTTTTTCTTCCCCTCGCCGGCTCTCTGTCGTCGCTTTATCTTTGAGAACTAATTGTTACTGAACATGCGGTTGAACTTCTCCGGGTAGAGAAGCCAGGAGGCCGGAAAGTGTTGTCAAGCTGAAACAGCCATCCCTACGCGGCTTTTAAAAAGCATCGAGTCGTGGATGACGCATCAGGTAGCACACGTACTCCTTCTGTACACGCGCACGAGGAGCGTGTGCAAGGCAAAAAACCGAGTATCGAATGCTACCGCATGAATAAGTCCCTTTGAAGTTACCACCACCCACGCTGCGCTCCGAAAAATCTCTGCTTCAACCCCTTTCGCTCGCTACACGTGCACCCAATGCCCTGAAACGTTGAGGCGAGCTTCGCAACACAGGTGAGCCGAAGTTACAGGGTGTCTGCGAGTGATAGTTTTAAAGTTTCTTCCGACGTGTATCAGACCGACGTGTTTCTCTAATTTCGTTCACCATCATGAAAATGTTTGTCTGGTGTATCTATCGTTAGCAACGAGTGTCCGGTTTCGTATGGATTAATTAGAAAGTACGAAACAACGGCATTAGTGCACACCAGTGAGGTTTGCATTGCATTCAATTCTGTTTACCCCGACCAGTAGCGAGCTTTACGACTCGACGATACTAATTAATTTCCTGTTATCCTTTTGCGCTCAATTATTGTCCGGCTTTCGATTCCGGTGTTTAGCGAATAATTTAATCGAAACAGTTGATCGGTTTCGCGCGAAATTGATCCGGTGACAAAAGAAAGAATAATTGAGCGTTCGCAGGTATCTATAATGAATTTAATTAACCGGAATACCTTTCGCGTGGTTAGAAAACATACGTGGTAAATTGCAAGAACTTTTCCTAATAACTCGAGGAGAAATGGAAAATTCTTGTGTCGGGGCGAAATTCGATGGGTCGAGTGTTGACGGACGATTATTCGCCCCTCAGGCGACAATGATTTATGTCGCAACAACTCTAGCAGCGGATTCTCGCGACCGCAGGAACCGCGAAGGGTCACGAACAACACCCGTTCCCCGCGAGTCTGGCTTCCTCGGTAATTATTTATGTTGGTCGGTCTTCACGCGGGACGGTAATTGAATTTGCGTCCGGAGAACGGTCAGTGACCGTAATTCGCCGACGAGGGACCAGTGAAAGGAGGAGAGAAACAGAGAGGAAAAAGGGAGAAACCGAGACGATTAATACGCTCTTAATTGTCCCTGTCGTCGCGTGAACGAAACGTGCTTACTTCTACCACAATTGAAGCCTCGTTAACTCAAGACACGTCGTTTACGTCTCGTTGAGAGATTATTTATTGAAAGTGAAAGATTGTTATTTCTATAGAACTCCACGGGTTGTTAATATAAAATTTATAATATCCACAAATGAAACAAAGGTGAAACGTCCGGTAAAAAATTTCACCTTTCGACGCTTTTATCAGCCGGAGGCTCGTAAACGTGACCGAAACGTAAAAGTCAGGCTTAAGGGTTTAGGACAAAGTCGGGACTAATTCCCTTTCATACGGTCCCTAAGCAAAGACAGATAAGAGTTAAAGCATATATGTACATCGTGAACCATAAATGCCATTCACTCGACATACCCTTGTCCCTGTGTGTTTCGAGCTTTTTCAATGTGCCCCGAGTGTACTCCTTTTCTTTGTTCTTGCTACGCGTTCCTGTTGAACCCACCCCGGGTATACACGCGTGATGAAGAGATACGACCGCCTCGTAGGGGCACGAACCGCATTTCGGATTCAAAGTGTACAACAAGGAAGCGAAAATTAAGAGTGCAGGATTTACACGAACGAAAATTACAACACGTGTATACTTGCCGGGGTAAGAGGGGTAAGAGAAAAACTGGCAGAGGGTGCCGTGTACGATGCGTAGTCGCTGCTTTTGTTCGAGTTCATTTTCTAAGTCTGGACAATGGAAGGGACGTAGAATTACTGGGCTTGAATCTGGAAATGATTTGCCAACGCAAAGGGCGGTGGATTAATCGAATTATTTAGACATGTGTAGACTTTTTTCCTTCTAATTTACGAAGCTTAGGGTGCAGAAAAAATAATTCTCCAATCATTTACATTCGCATACTCTTCGGATTGTTTTTTTCCATATCATCACGCGTAATTCATTATATAATGCTTCGTTATTTAAATTTAAAATGTTCTATTGATATTCAAGGTTAAATCGAAGATAAACAAGAAAAACTTCCTTTCCAAATTATAATCAGTGCCAGACGACACAGTAAATATCAGAAAACGACCTAATCTCCACTTTATTACATCCACTAAAATGAAGTAAAAAGACCATTAACCAAGCCTGTGTTCTTTATATTTTTCAGATAAACCTACGCCTCATTCTTGTCAGCGGTAAGACAAAAGAGTTCCTATTCAGTCCGAGCGACTCTGCGGGGGACATAGCGCACCATGTGTTTGAAAACTGGCCGGAAGGTAGGTTATTCTCGGACCTCGTTCCCTCTGACATTACCATAAAACGAATCTGCATCGACCAACTGCTACATCATCGTTTACAAGTCATTTAACGTTATTCAACTTGACTTCCAAGAATTTCTTTCATCCCATCCACCTTACTGTAAAAGAGGTCCATCAAAGTTGAACCTAAAGTGTCAAACAAGAACTTGGAAAAAAAAAGAAGAATTTCTCTTTCCAGTGTAACCGATGAAAAGTCATCCAAGTCCCTTCTCACTTTTGATGGATCTACTGTAACAGTTTTCACTTTGTGCGCTTCTTTTTATGCCACCGAAAATATGCGACCTCTCGGCGGATAGAAACTGCTCCAAATGTCTCGTGACAAATAAAAAGAACTAGTAAAAGGAACTAGGGCTGCTCCTTTGTCCCGACAGTGTAGTAAACGTTGCAAAAAGACGGGTCGTCTATGGTTTCGTACTTTCAAACGGACCGTTTCAATGAAAATCGTCGTCGAGGAGTAACTCGTTTAATATTGAAATGCATTCGGTGAGCGCATCTTCTGCTACCTCGAAACGTCGGCCAGCAATTATTTTCACTGGCTTTCGAAGGCATAAAAAAGCCATTGCGAGACGGAACGTTCTATTAACCGGTTAGAATCCTCGGGAAATTCGGTAATTAACCGTGCCTGCTGTTTTGTTTCTCGAATCACGTTACTGCGATCTTCTCACGATGAATCTTGCGTTAATTCTCTTCGTCGTGGGTCACCGATGACCCACCAGATCAAGTCATATTCGTGGCCTAGATTATTTAACAATTTGAACGACTTACACACGCCTAAATAATTAAAAAAAAAAAAAAAAAACAATAGAAAAACATTATTTTAATTAATATTACTATGGTACAAATAATGTGAAATGGCACATAGAAAACTTGAAATTTGAAATTTGAAAATTAATTATTACTATATGTCCCACAAAACGTGCCCAATTACTGTGGCATTCAACGCGTTAATTGCGAAGTAAACTAGTTTGCAAAAAAAGAGACGGTTTCATTTTTTTTATGAATATATTGGTAATTTATTTTCAAGTTCACTTTCAACCTGTTTACGTCAGACTTTTGTTCCTGGATCGCATGAATACACAGGCGAGGAGTTTGAAAAAATAACAGCAAGGATGAAAGGATGAACTTGATTCATCCAGCTTGCGCTGGGGGAAAAAGGGGGTTGGACGGAATCGCGGACGCGAAACGTTTGCGTTTTCCGGGCTGGCGAACGCATTTTTTACTTTCTCCAGTCTGTCGGAAAAACTAGAAATATTCGAGACAAGGTCGTGGCTGATACGAGACTCTTTGTTTTTCAGACTGGGCGGAAGAGGCAGTCGCTAAAGCGGAGATCCTGCGGTTAATCTACCAGGGTCGTTTTCTGCACAGCAATGTCACGCTCGGTGCTCTTGGGCTTCCTTTCGGGAAAACCACGGTGATGCATCTGGTCCCACGAGAGAATCTTCCCGAGCCTAATTCTCAAGGTAAACCATCGAACGGTGCTGTTTACCCCCCCGTGCTCTCCGGAGAAAATAATGGACCGCCGCGCCGACAAGAAGCCTTTGTGACTCGAGCCAAGATGGCTCGCGGTTTAACCCTTTCGCTTTGATAACCTTTGGAAAAGGAAATACGTGTATGCGCGACAGACTACCCTTCGCAAAGGACGTGACTCGATTTTTATGTAAAAAACATGTTTCCTTTTTATTGACAAAATCAACTTGGCCGATGATACCATGTTAGAACCAAAGTGTTGTAGCATTTTTTGAAAGGTCACAGTGCAGATGAACAAGATGCTGAATTGTAATAATTTTCCAAAAATGTTCCAGTACAAAGAATGTACGATAATAAAGATTGGTATCGCGTTTCTGCTAATTACAGGTCTTCTGCCAAATGGCGAGTACATGCATATCCAATCTATCGACGAGGAAACCACCTTCATCTAACAAAAAGAACCAGAACGTGTCCTATCCTATATCCAAAATGAGCCGACATCCACATCCACGATCCCTCGTTCCTGAACACCCAATTCGTCACCAGCTCGAACAAGAAATTACATGAAAATTGATGGTACTTAATTGTTTATTTCGAGATAGCTTTGTAACCGACGTTGACAAATGTCCTCTTTATGCTCGGCAGTCACGACGATTTCATAGAGATAAGTATCTCACGCGGAATGAAACAGGGAAAGAAAAATGTCGTCTCGTATTCGTGATTCGTATACTTGTTTCACTCGCTTTCTCTGTTTCTTACTCTGATTTCCAAAGGGTTAAGATAGACCACCTTGGTGCCACTTAGAAAGGTAATAGACTTCGAATATCTTATGCAAGGTATTCCAAGGTGGTACGATTCGAAAGAAACTAATTCTATTCCAGAAAGCTCCGTTCGATCAAATTGCACCACATATGTAATCTATCAAAGAATGTAAAAACTAACAAAACTATCCGCTCTTTGTTACAGATCAGAGGCAAAAAAGTAAAGGCGGAGGAAGTAGTTGCTGTTCAGCTTCCTGTTGCATACTTTAAAAAATAAACATACAAACAAAAAGAACAAAGAAACAAAAAAAAAAAGAGAGAGGTGAAATAAAACATTGTCGGCTGCCCTGGATATATTTTAAATGGTCGTACCGTGTGAGAGCCAGCACACGTTCAGGCTGAGCCATGGTTTCTAAGGTTTCGATGCTGGTGTATCATCGTTTTAGTGGCTGAGCTCGTGAGCAGTGTAGCAACACGAAATCGTCGCACCCTTCCTTTTTTTTTCCCCTCTAGATCCACGTGAAAAATAAAAAGAGGTGTTTACACCCACGACACATATATAGCAAACGAGAGAGCACACGTTGGTCACCGTCCCAGGTGAACGATTCGATCGATCATCATCGTTGTCCTCTTGTACCTTGTGTGGAAGGATAAAAAGCAGGATCTAATCGTGTCGCGTTGAAACTCTTCGATAAAAGAGACATAACGCGTTCAGAGCCAAACCCATAATACACAGCTGTCCGTTTTGTTCGCTGTTACCATGTACTTGATCGGTGTATTCACACTGAAAATCTATTTATGACCGTCGACTCACGACAGGAGACTGGTCGTGGTTCGTTCCAGGATGTCCGATGTGCTCGTTCAAGTATGCCTCGAGACACATAAAGCACGACAGTCTCCTGTAGTTAAACGTAAACGATTAATTCTCTAGTAAGATGAAAATGTTATTATTTGTTTTTCTTTTTTTCTTCTTTCGTTCGACAGAGAGATTAGGACGTAGAGCCTTTCGAAGGGGATGAAAGCTCTCTTGAACGGCGCTACAATGCTTAGAAACTCAACCACTATCCGACTACCGCAGCGTTAAATAGTAATTATTAATTGTAGACGGGATATCGCGTGTGTGTTGTGCAAGAAGAATGACTGAGTCGCGTTTGAAAGATCGAGGAAGAGAGTAAAAATTTATGTTGTGATATGCAGGTAGTGAATATATTATATATATACAATACTATTATTAAAATTATATATTATATATATGAACAAAAAAAAAAAGGTATATATATATAATATGGGTATGAGACATGTTGACAGACAGTTTAAACTCTCATACACGATAGACTTTATTATCATGAATTTAAAGTAATATTATGACGCCACTTTGAGAGTTTAGTATTCTGGATAAGATTGCAGAGGAAAAGAACATTGGATCTCTAATGGTAGTTATGATTAAATAAAAAAGAAAAAGAAAAAAAATTCAAATATATCTCCTGTTAAATCCTTTTTTTATCCAAAAAACACATCCCTTCTCCGATTATCCTTCTTTCACCTCTCTTCTCCTCACCTTTGATTACGTCCACCCTTCAACCTCCTTTCTTTTTTGTCAACCCTTTATTCTGTTTTCACCCGTCCATTTTCAATCGGTCGGGCCTAGGATCGTGATTTCGTCGACCCAACGATCAATCCACGTTTACCGGCAATTGCCGAAATCGCGAGTATTGATTACAGTTAGGTCCATCCAAACCATTTTACGATAAGTTGTAGCCTATTCTATACTCAAAACTATGCTACTGTAATTAATTACTATGACTCTTACCAATGCATAATACGTGTATATAATATATATATATATATATATATATATATATAGATATATAATGTTCTTACATAGTGAAATTCATTGGAATTCACGATTGTCGAAGTTTATTTAATTTATTTCGCACGAAACATCGGCGAACAATGTTGTACACCTGTTTGAAATCGTCGATATCTGCTTGACCTCGTAAACCTGTGAAAAAAAAAAAAAAATAATCGTCTTTTCCTGACAGAAACAAGAAAATTAATCATGAATACGTAATGTTTCTTAAATTGTTTCCAAGTATTACCGATAAGATGTTGAGTGATATCGAACGATTATAAAAATGTAGATGTAAGATGAAGAAAAGAAAAAAAGAAATGATATGAAAATCACACTATCGGATACGTATAGTTTCTCTTCTTGCTCAAATACACCGAATAATATTTATTGATTTATTATTAAAACATACTCAGTCTCCGTTTTTACGAAATGAACAATTGGTGTTATCGAGTACATGCAGATACGAGATAATAGGTTTATGGGGATGGCTAGCAGTATAATTTTTTTTTTTTTTTAATTTTATTATTTTCCTCTTAATTTGCGGTCAATTTTTATTAATCGTTGTATCGAGAACGTCGCTGCCTTCCGTTTATTCGTCCTTCTCTTTCTCTTCTTATTTCTTTTTTTTCTCTTTTTAAACAATAGAGATTAAGAGGTAGACTCTATGAATGCTGTTTATAAAAGTAACAAGAAAATTGTTTAGCGCGTAAGTTCTAAAAAAAAAAAAATTGCGAACGAACAAACACATCACGTTACGAATATACATGGACTATCATCGGGAATAAAATTGTCTTCGCGGAATGACGAGGATCATATGCAAATTTTGTTGCGTACAAATGTAATCGTCTGATTATAACAATCGTTCGATCACCGGATAGACGAACAATATAAAAGAAAAAGAATGAAAAAAATGCTGCTCTGTAATAAGTTTATTGTACAGTTCCTTTGACGTTACAATATTACTTTAAAATCTTGCGGAAGAAAATGTAGGATGAATGAAACGTTGTTCGAAACGTATGCTAGATACAAGAAGCGGTCGTCGTCGAAGCTCTCTCTGTTCGTCGCGCGTGTAGAAATCATTAATTACGTTTACACGAATCATTCGACAAATTTTATCCACCTTTCATCTGTCATGAGTTATTTTTCAAACGTGTGACACGATGAAATCGAGCGCGATTACGCGCGGTGTTGGAAGAAAAGGATCCTTGAATTCTTTTCTTTTAACACTGTATAAATATACAGGATGTTCTAGGTTTTATATTCAAATGTATTCCAAAAAGAGATAAAATATGAAATGAATTGTTATTAAATAACAAACACAATGAAGTTTTGGGATACTGCGTTGGAATTAGGACATCGTTGTCCTTATTTTCAATCGTGAAAATTTCTTGTCAAAAACCTGAGACACCCTGTATACATATCCTTTGTATAAAATTGTAGAGAGCACGCCACGATACGCCATCTTTTCTCGAGAAAACAATTTTTCACCATCGTTATAGTTCCCCTTCACATTTTATCCGGGTCTATTTCTCTCTGTATCTATGATAGTTGTCCGTTCTTTTCTTTGACCATTGCTAAGTTGATCTCACCGAATGTTGCACACACACCACGAGCTGTATAACAATGAGAGACAAAGTAACAAAACGCCATGGAACTTCCGAGGAAGGGGGGTAATTTTAACGTGCTAGTGTATTATATTAAACTATACGCCTGACTCTATTTGCTGTTTAAACGAGGAAGATGATGAACTTAAATGAAAATAAAATGGTATTCTTAAATGCAAGAAAAAAAAGGTAATAATAATGATGATAAATAATAATAATAAATAATAATACTAAAACAGTCTACGAGGAATATAATTACACACATCATATCAAAATTCTAGCGGATAAGAATCAAATCATTATACATACATACATAGATTTATTTGTACACGCGTTTCGATGAGCTATTGTGCGCCCATACCATACCATCATTTTTATGTACAATACGAACGTACAAATTCTTTGATTCTTCATCGACATCATCACGTGCATCATACACGAGCAAACGAACGGATTTAGCGGGTCATTATGGTACCATATAATGGGTCGCGAACGATCCTCGTTACGAATTTACGTAAAATGAGATGATTACGGGTTTTCATTGCACGGTCTTGCGAGAAACGAGAAACGGTCATGTTGAAATTTCAAATTGTTTTGTTAAACAAATGGTGCGCGTTGTGTTGACAACCTGGAAGTATAGTTTATACGATACTAGCGCGAAATGTACAAGTTGATTGAAAAAGGGGGTTTCAGGAATCATTAAATTTATCAATAAATAATGGTTTCAATGAACCATTTATGGAACTAAATTCAAAGATCCTGAAACCTTTCTTTCGATGTACTCTGTATAGATAAGCTTTGTTCTTGTGTTCAAACATGTGACACGAGCGCGCATTTAACGAGGAAGAGAAGAAATTAAAAATAGGCGGCCAAAGAGTAAACATAGCCGTGGCAAGTTTTCCGTTCGCCATACGAAAGCTTTGTAATCAATTCAGTTTACTTTGGGAAAAGAGGTTCAATCAAATAATCGTGCTCGTATTGGCATTTCTCATCTTGGATATAGAGCATTGTTATCGCTAGTCGGACAGATTTTATCGATCACGAGAGAGAAACATTATTGATGAATCAACGAAGAGAATGATAATATAAAGCAGCCCCCGTGTTATAAAATGCAGATTACGAAATACGTTATAATAATTTTATCGCTGCTGGCAGACGCAGTAGATCGTGTAGAAAAACGAGCAAGTAGGAAAATCAAAATGATAATAAACGATGATCATCTTCAACAATAATTACGGATAATCGGAATCCGTGTAAATAGAATTATTTAACGCTTTGATGACTAGTTTAATCTATTCGTGATTTCTATACGTAATATTTTACTTTACTACTATCGATATTATTAATTGTTTACTTGTAATTTGAAAATTAGTAATTTTGTGGTATACGGTATCGAACAAAGTAGACTTCTCCTGAAAAAAAATGGCGTCACAGGGGAAATAAAAACTCTCAAATTCTTAATTTTTACGATATTAATATTAAAAGTGATTTAGTAAACAAAATAATATAATCTTTAATCATAAAATTTCATAAAATTTAGTATATAATTAAAAAATGTGGAGAATAACATGAATACCAATTCAAGTTCCACCGCGCAATCGTTCGTGCGCAGATGGAGGAAGGCCGCAGACCCATATACGCGGGGCCTTCCCCCTCCATCGTTAGTCTCCTTGGGACCGCTGGTGGTGAGTGATATGCGTCCGGAGAGTAACGGCCTACAGCGAGGGCCAGAAAATTACAAGAATGAGTGTATTTTTCTTAAGAAACCTCGTATGCCAGATATGATACGTTATAAAAATTTGTAAAATATATTTTCATTAGTCTGTATTTCCAAAAATTGCGAAAATCACTAATTCGGTCAAATATGTGCGGTCATCAAAGTGTTAAATATAAGAAACAATGAAACTTTAAGTAGAAACATTCCAAATTGAAACGAGTCCCAGCTCCTCGTTCTTATCCCCTCGTTTAATTAACCAATCCCATGCTCAACGAGAGAAAACATTAGAAAATTCCGTGTTATTCGATGTTCGAATGTTGAAACGCGATCGTAGAACGTACGATGTAATCGTATTTTAATGAAACGATTGTAATAATTATGCCTGAGAGAAAAAATTTAGACACGCGAAACTCGTGCCACCCACGACACGATCTTTGTTTACATTGAGATTTCACGAAAGAAAAAGAGGAAAACAAATAAAAATGTGAAGAAGATGGAGGGAAAAAGAAGAAGTGTACAAAGCGAACTATAATTTTATACGGAAATCAGAACGTAATAATTTTACTTGAGATCCGTGAATGTTCAAATTTTCATGCGTGACATTATTGACTAATTACTATAGTATCGAACGAGCATTGTTGTATAAAAAAAAAAAAATTCTGACAACTTCTAACTGTCTTCGAGCGACAAATAATCCAGATATTTCGTTGATATTTCTTTTTCTTTTTCTTCACCGGCTTGATAACAGTATTTTTCTAGGCAAGATACTTTTTCTATTCAAACGATACAAACGGTAGAAAAATTTTGCGAACTCGAGGGAAAGAAGAAAATCTATTTCGAGGGACGTTTTTCTTTTATAAGGAACATATGTATATTTGTTCAAAACTGACACGATTTGTTGTATTCAAAGGATCCTTCGTGTTTTATTTTTAAAAAGTCGAGTCAAGTTTAAGACGTAAAAGAAATCCATTTCGTGCATCGATTCTAATTTACTCTCGGTGGAAACGATTTCGAGCTGAATAAAAGAAAGGAAGAACGAAAAAAAAAAACAAGAAGAAGATGTCTTTTTAATCGTTTGATAAGGGAGATGTATAAAAAACGTTTTCAACTGGCCGTCCTACATAGAATATGGCGAATGTTAAATGTATTATTTGAAAGCTATCCTACGTATTTGCCATAACTTATTGATGCGTGTAAATTGTAACAGACGATCGAACGTACTAACGCTAAAAGAAACAAGAGAAACGAAAAGAAAAGGTGTAACGATATGTAACACGCAATAATTTTGTAGACCTTATGTTATAATAAAACCGATGTTAAGAAATATTGATTCGAGTATTGTAAAACGATGATTTGAAAGGGAACGGGTTAACTGAAGTGGTAAATCTCGTGAAAATTCAACTAAAAAAAGCCAGACTTGTATTTGACGGTTACTTTTACAGTGTCTGCTGCGTGTTAATTTTATCTGAATGTAATAGATACGTTAATGATGGAAAATAAGCTATGCTGAGATATATATACACGTCAATTTATTTAACGATCTCACACGAATTCCCTATTGCGGTCGCGTTAGTTGTACAAAATCTTTGTTTCTCTTTCTTTCTTTTCATTATAATTTTTTCCAAACGCCTCTCTGTATAATGTATCGTTTAAAAACGCCAGTATCTTTGTCGTACATACATGTAACATAGGAGTAAGGAGTATATCATGCCGTAAAAGTGACAAATGGTAAACGTTTCTAAACCGAGAAATCATATAGTGATATAACTACCATACTCTCATTCAATCACGAGGATACTATCATAATTAACTATGTACATGACGTTCATTTTCTCTTCTAACGCGTTTGTTGTTGGATTTCATGCATTTCGAAAAAATTTCTTCTGCTCTATGATTTATAATGTTCATTTTAACCCGACAGTGTACAGGTGAACTCATGGAACCTAAGTATCCAGCTGGGGTGCTCGTAGATCCCAGAGATCGCATAGAAAAATCTGTTTTAATGACTCTGTATTATGATTAAAATATTAACATTACTTTGTAAGAATAGACGGTAGTATGATTTTCTAGTGGTAAGGATCTGCAAGACCCCCACGTATGCACTGTCGAATTAAAAGTAATGTTATCACAATAATGTTCGGATAGTGGTCACCCAATCATCCCCATTACATTCGAGCTCTTGTCATGAAAATAATTTTCAACTAGTTTTTGGATTACTTTTCTTCAATTAGAAAATTTAGAAGCAGTGTTTTAAATGTATCTCATTTTTGTCCCCGACACGTCTAAGGCGAGCTGCCCGAATAGTAGTCACGATTTGGTCTCAATCCTGCGACCATTATCCGGGCATTCCTGTAATGGATCGTGATTAATTCTAAATAGAAATTAGACGTCCTATTTTATCGCTACTTTTAGGTAAAAAAAACTAAAAAAGTCACATGTAAATAGTGTGAGAAATAATTAAATTGAACGACAATGGTCTTAGAACTTTTTTCAACCCGATTTCTTAAACGGATACACGTATATAATTTTCTAACTTCTTACAATAGGGCACAGCATAATATGTTGCAGAGTGGCTGGGGATATTTCTATACAATAATTTCTATGATAATATAGATCTTTGTTATGCACCGTGAAGAGCCGTCTTGTAATTGTTGATAATTTTTAACAAGTGGATGACAAGATGTATTTTACAATACTGTGCCGTCTTGTAATGAACTTGTCGATATGCATAATATCAAATTTTTAAGAACTTATTGTTAAGCTTGCGTTACACACCTCATTTGTAAATATTAGATTATATTTTTGTCTGTAGCATAATTTCACATATACGAGTTACAAATGAGCGCGCGGTCGAGCGCAGAAAATGAACGAACTGCGCCCTACAGAAAAAACGAGGAACTAAATTTGTGGTCTGTTTTACCTTTTTGACGTCTTTCGCGAGTGAAAATCGTCGAACACAAAGGGTATAGCCGAATAAAGGGGTGAAATGTGCCTTTACAAGCGACAGATGTCGCTGACATTTACTTTTACTCGGTGGATATATTCAACGGTCATTTATGACGTCATAATTTACTGGCAGATACGCAACAACATTTATTTTCAATTGCTCTTTGTTAATAAATTGTTATCGATATATCTAACCATTGAATCGTATAAAACAAATCGGGAGCAATTTTTTGGTGCCATAATATCTTTGTAAAAAGATCATTTACTATCTATTTTGCAGATGATAAATTTCTGCTTTTTTATTTGCAAATGTTTGCGACTGAAACAATGGGGGACGGAGCAAATGGGGAGCAATTTTTTAAGACATAAATTGTTAAGAAATATTAATATTCCGCGCCAACTTCACTTCGATCGAATTTCGTCTAGCTGGAGGCTTGTACTTACTTACATCATTCCTTGGGTGCTCGTTTTGTTCTATCCGACCCAAAGAATGACGCTCTGGTCTCTATTTGGACATACGATTCGTAAAAATGTTTATATTACAAATAAATTGATGCAGGTGAGTCCGATCCGCCATTTTCTTGACCGTTGACAGACATAAATTTCAATATTTTATAACTTTTTGACGATTTGGATAATATAAGGACCAGCGCGTCATTCTTTAGGGCCTCCTGAACACGTCCTTCAAATTTTGTTGCATTCTGTTTAGTAATGACGACGTAATTTGTGTTCTACGTTTTAAGGATTTTTCTAGGGTCTGTCGGTAAAGTTTTCGACGCTCACATCACATTAATATAAAACAGAATTAGACCTATTGAAACATTTAAATTTATTTTCAACTGAATTTATTTATAATAACCAATTATTTCATGGTTTCATAATCATGAAGTACTAATGTAAGTACCGAACTCCGAATTCCGCGTCGGTAAAACAGCCCACGTTTGATCGAACAGAAACTGATTTAAGCGCCACCTCAGTTATAGCGGCTCAAATATAGATATCTGTATTTACAACTTTATTAATAATACGATCTTTATATTTTATGAGGAATATCAAATAATCTTTTAAAAATGTTTTAGATACTGTACTTAAATATTCAAACATTATAATGGTAAAATATACAATTCTATATGAAGTATACAATTTTTATTTTTATTATTCATTCTTAGATTTATCTTTCAGAAGGCCATATAATAACATTAAATGACATATATGTAATAAGACGCTACTAAGAATAGTACTTGGATAAGTATTCCAACATAATTCTATTATTCCCAAAATGGTCAACTTTATAACAGTCTTATAATCTGTACACCATGCAATGTAAGGCAGTGTATGGTAATACCATATATAAAATTGATAATGCAAGGATCTACTAAATGCTATACCAATAAAATTTGCAACAAAAAATGGAAAGATAAATAATTGACTCATTGTAGACATATCTACTTTTTCTTTCTTCTTTAACTGTGATTGTACATTTTCCTCTATATATTTTAATTTTGCATAGGACTTCATATATTTTATCCAGGTTGGTATGCAATAAATTATGGTTAATATATGCAGTACTAATAATAATACATGAAAATATGGATGGATAAAAACATTATCTGATAAAAATCTCCAATTTACAGTCCATTTAAATTCAAAAACTCTTCCAAGATCAAAAGCACCTTTTATATATGCAAGTGGATTGTTAAGTAAGAAAGGAAGACCTAATATTAACTGAATAAAAGCACAAATAAACAAATGTACAGTTGCCTTAATTAATCCTAAATTACATAAATAAGCTACTAAAAGTGCTGGTGCAAATAATAAAATGTTCATTTTTACAGACACTGCTAAGCTGTAAAGAATGCTTCCTAAATACCAATGATTGTCTAAAAATGCATTCAAGCTTGCAAACAATAACACCATTGCAACTGGGTCATTGAAAAGTCTCAAAGTAAATATAGAATGAACTCTATAAGATGTACAGCACATAATAATTAAGACATAAGGAGGAACTTTTTTAGTTTTTGCATAAATTCGAAAAACCAAAGTAAGTAATATTATATACAGAGCTGCAAAGGAGTACTGCGCTATTTTTATCTTTGCTCCACGTCCCGTGATGTAGTGTAGTATCGAAAATATATAAACAAATCCTGCAGGATACACTAATGGTCCAGTATCACCTCTCAATTTGGAGTAATCCAATGTTCCATTCAAAAAGCCCTCGACTTCTTGCATGTATGCTTTCCAGTCAATTTCTGTGTATGGTACTTTTTCGATAACCAATACATTTAAAATAATTTCCAAAACAATAAACACTCTGCCAATTATAATTAATTTTCTTGGATCTGTGAATAAGGAAACAAACTTTTCCCATTCTAAGTAATTTTCGTACCAATTCTTGGTATTTTTCTTCAAAGTTTTTGCTGAATTCAGGTTAGATCGTAATTCTCTACGTGGTGCCATTTTACTCCGAGCACACGTGTGTGGAGTATTACACGGTGTGCGTTCAAATCAGTTCAAATATCAGGTGAAATATCCAGCATGGTAAATGATGAAGGTTAGGGTTTCCTAGGGAAAATGGCGACTCGTCCCGCTCTGTAGATTTCCACGGGTTCGCTGGATCGCTGGCTCACCCACACCTATGTATGTAAGTACATGAAGCTAGCCGGAAGGAATAATAAAATATGATTACTTTTAATTTTTCTTAGTGTATTTCG